AGAGATGAGATTGGTCAAAAAAGAGGAATAAAAAGGGATTCTCTGTCACAGCTAACTTTTCCTCCCTTCTCAGTACCTTCAAGACAGACCCTTCCCCAATCAAAGAATGAAATCTTCCCATTTGCAACTACGTGGATAGAACTAGAGGATATTATGCTCTGTGAAATTAGTCAGAGAAAGACAAATATCATATGACTTCACTCATATGAGAACTTTAAGATACAAAACAGATGAACATAAGGGAAGGGAAACAAAAAGAATATAAAAACAGGGAGGGGGATAAAAACATAAGAGACGCTTAAATATGGAGAACAATAGAGAGTTACTGGAGGGGATGTGGGAGGGGGGATGGGCTAAACCGGTAAGGGGCATTAAGAAGTCTACTCCTGAAATCATTGTTACACTTTATGCTAACTTAGATGTAAATTTAAAAAATTAAAAAAGAATTTTTTTAATCAAAAAAGACCCTTCCCCTACCATTATCTCAACTCAAATCTGTCTCCTGGTTTTCTCGCACATCTCCTCCAAACTAAACAAATACTCCACGAATAACTGACAAACAACTTACAACACCACCAGCAATATCTGCTGCCATAAAAAGTGGGGGTGGGGGTGGTGGAGGGACACCTGACCCGTGTTACAATTATTACCCATACACTCCTCCAGTGCCTATCATTCTTTCTACAGCATGTGGTTCACCTGCCAGTATTTGTAGAGAGAACACTTGGCTCTGACAGAGAAAATAAAAGGGGAGTCGGGGGACTTCTGTGTCTGACTAGTAGGACTGTTCACCATTTCAATGTTTCCTCAGTAAGTCCAAAACCAAATGCATTACTGCTTCACGACTGGGAGATCACGAAACACACACAGGCACAAATAGGTCTGACTGTGGAAGCTATGACAAAAAGGCATTTGACAAGCCATATTGAACAATATAAAGGTCACTTATGCTTTCCTGGAATATTTGAGATTTCACCTTCTAGATCATGATTTGCACTGAGGATACACAGAAAATGGGCTAGTGTTTTCTTCTCCAATATTATGTAAGGGGCAAATACAGTTAGGCACATTCAAAACTGAAGAATAAGGACTGTTTCCTCCTCCAGGACGAAGTGAGACAATAGTGTGTGACATGAATTGGAAGCCTTCAAGCAATAAGAATAAATACAATGTTTTATTTTACAAAGCTGGTGATTCTGCAATTCAGTTTGGCCCCAATTCACCTGGATCTTTCATTATTAACACTTCCTAAGAAAAGAGGGAGGGAGGCTGTGAAGCAAGACTAGAGCCTAGGCACAGAATCCCTAAGCCCATGCAATCTCACTTTAGCCCGTGAAGTCAAGTCACTGTACCCTGTTGAGTCTCTAATTTCTATCTATAAGTGAAGAAAGATCTCATGAACCTAAGAGAACTGTATATGTGAAAATACAATGAAAATAATGTTCTGCCATCATGCTTTCCCCCATTTGTTCTCAATATTCAAATTACTTTTATGAAAATGAGCCAAACAACCGTTTAAATTAAGCACACATACAGACTCAAAAAAAATGTATTGCCCGTTTCATTAGAAATTTAACCCTGATCAAACATTTTGCAGCTTATCCAGTTTAGAAGAGTTTAATTTTTCCCACACTCTTGTAACAAATGTGAAGCCTTAATAACTGCATTTTATTTATAGTGTTTGCAGAGCAATGGAAAACAGCATACCTAGGTAAAGAACTCCTTTGGGGAAGGAAAAAAAACTGGCTATCACACAACATTCTCCACAAGTTTGGTAAGACCTGACAGCACAAAGCCAAAAATCATACCTAAATTAAACCACTGCTGAAGCCACATAATAAAAGAGTGTTTACTGTAGTTAATGCAAAAGCAAGTTGATACTATTTACTTCTTCCAGTCTGTAAATGGAAACATACCAGTCCAGTTCTACAAATGTAGTAATGTTACTGACTATAGAAGTGTACTTAAGACAACACTGCATTCACTCACCAGAAATTTTTCAACAATCAACTAAAATTATGATCCCCACAATGACAAAAGTATACTTCACAATCATCTTGGCTTTGATATAAGCCTTAATCACATCATGGGAGGAAAAAAACCCTTACCGAGTCAACTGCATAAAAACCATACTCACCTTTGTCTGATTAATACACACCTCGAGTCTCTGCATTTTGAACATTCACTGTTAATTGCTGATGGGATACCATAATAATGGTCTCTGAATTTTTTAATCACCATAACCTCTAATGTATACTTCTCTCTTTACCATTTAAATATTTTATTCAGATCAGGCATGTTCAGGAAGATAGAAGGAAGGCTTTTAAATAAGTTTTCCTTCTTATAATGAAAGAAATGATCAACTACTAACAAGTACCTATCTCCAACAAGATTTTGTCTTTAAAAGGAAATAAAAAAACTACTGTCATAGTAATGTAAAAATGTTTCCCTCAAGACTTTCAAAATATGTAGCTTCCAACTAGATGTGCTTTGGCTATTCAATTAATAATGAAAAGAGAACTTATGTTTTTAACTTTTCTAGTACAAAAGATATAGTACAAAAGATATTTTCAAGTCATGCATCCAAACTTTTCATATACCTAAAAAGCTGCCTTCAAATTAATATAGGTTGCAAAATGAATATACTTCCAGAAGTTAAAATACTTACAAGTTAAAAAGAGCATTAAGACTGCATAACATTCACCTTTAAAGGATCCATTTCTTGGAAACCTAACTTCGAATATCATTTCCATCTTTTTGACTATCTTAAGAACAAATATCTGGCCACAGTGGTTAACCAGTGAGGATCTAAGTATAAACTGTTTAATCCTTACCATATTTTAGTTTTACAAATATGTGGAGAACAATCAACATTTTCCAGATTATCAAGCTTTAGATACCCAACCTTAGCATCCAGTATTCTCTCCCATAGTCTCTAACACAAATCCTCTACTTCCTAGGTTCATCCACTACTGTTTTTCAAATAGATTCACGCTCCTTGAGAATAAGCATGATTATACTTCATTACTTTGCATTCCTTTCATAAAGGTTAGCTATCTTGGATAGTCAGTAGATGTTTGATATTTAAACACAATGTATGCATTAAAAGTGGATTATATAATCTATTAGAAGGGTCCCTGGAACATCTAAGTCTTTAAGTTCACAGACAGAAAAGAAAATGTGGACTAAGTGGTTGTCCCAAGGTCAGTCACAATTACTCTGTGGCAGAAAGATAATTACTGTCCAGGTCTAACTTGAAGTCTAGTGGTCTTCCAATTACATCATTACCTCTCTTCTAATGTTTTCTACACCAATGACTAGTCATCTAGCTGACTGCTGACTCAAAGTCTTTATATGAAGTACTGATCTCTAAAAGTCATTGAAATCATCACTTACAGCACCTAGAAATTAAGACCAGACAACATACATTGTTTCAGAAGCCTATTTCTTAAACCCTTACTGCAAATGCCATTCTCATTTGATGAAAGAAAATGAAGGGTAAAGGAGGAAGAAAAGACTCAATACATTGCTAACAGCAAAATTCAGCTCCAACAGATCATGTGGCACCTCATCAACTAGTTAAATTGTTCAGGCTTAGGATAAATAAATCTGAATTTGACTCATTTAAATTGCAACTATTCACAGAATTTCTGAAAAAGCCTGCTTTTAGAAGCATATACAACAAACTCATGAACCTAATTTTCCCATCAAACCACAAACGAGTCAGCATAACTGCTCTCTAATAATTCTCTATACTAACACAAAATGAGAATATGATATTCTGCAATTCTGTACTAGAACGAAATACTGCAAAGTTAATTTTGACAAGAGTTAAGCTATTTAGAGTAGGGGTAAGTATTTTCTATACACTAGAAAACTGACTTCTAAGACTTCAAAAATGCAACACAGCCAATAGCTAAATAGACTGTTTATCCAACTCCTAGGGAAAAACAAAACGGACTTCAGGTAATTTAAAATGGACTTATTAAAGCAACTATAGCATTACATTTTCGACTTCTGAAAAATATTTAAACACTAAGCACAATGTCTGGGACACAATAAAAGCTCATCTACAGCTATCATCGTTATTACTACCACTTAAAGCCACAAAAACATCAACAAGTAACTTTTCAAACAAAGAGCCAGGATACAAAATTTGCTGGTTTAAATGTACGCTGTTCATTTTAAAAATAGATGGCAAAATGCCAAATACGTTCAGCTTACAGAAGAGTTTCACATTTACCCATTTTGAATCAGCATATAAGTCATAGATGAAATTGACACTTGGATTTCAATCCCAAAGCTCCTTATGTAGTATGACTCACCAAATTCTCCATTTCTTCCAACTATGAAAAAGAAGTTGTACTCCTCCCTCCATCTACCCCCACGACCTTTGCAGAAATTAGAGACATATTTTTAAATTCTTATAACACATTTTTAAGTCTCTGTCAAGATTGCTCAGTGAGTTTAACACAAACCACCGAGAACAGTACTAACGCTGTGTGACCTTTAGACAGGTCTTGGTATGTAACCTACGAGCTCGCCTTTGGGGGATCCTCTGGACAGCTTTGGACCGAAGAAGAATCAGGCCTGAGTACAAGTAAAAGCCTCGGACCCACCTCACAGTAGTCACAGGCCTCTTTCCCAGACCTTAGGACTCAAGTCCTCATACACCCATCTCAAAACCGTCCCCGACCCTAACATTACAGGGTCTCTGCTCCCTCAGCCACCTCTCCCAGCACCAAAGCTGGAGGCTCGCAAGCCCTGGAGTCGGGTGAACGGCGCCATTTTAGGCGGCGGTGGCGGAGACAACCAATCCCTGCGCGGGAGGCAGGGGGCGCCGGGTCGCCCGGAGCCTCCGCCGGGCCGCGCCGAGCGCCGGTCTGGGAGGCTCGGGGGGCCCGGGCCGACGGCCTCCGCCATGTTGCACCCCCCTCAAAGCCACCTCCTTCTCGGTGGGCTCGGCCCGCGGCGGCTCCCGCAACCGGAGAGAAGCTCACCTTCTCGCAGAGGCTCTTGACCTGGGACTCGGACAGCTGCTTGCACTCATTCAGCTGCTCGATCCACTGGTCCAGCTCCTTGGTGAACACCTTCTCGTCCATGATGCCACCCGCCCGAACCGGCTGCCGCTCCGCGCTACTCCCGCGCCGCCGCCCGCACACGGGCCACACGCACACGCCGCCGCCGGCTCCCGGGGTACTTGTGTGGCTACTGGAGGCTCCTCGGCGCTAGCGCGAACCCCGCGGGCTCTCCCTGTAGTACCCGGCCGCCGGCCGCTGCCCTCCTCCGCTCGATCTAGTGCCGGAGCTCGGCTCTCTGTAATGGCGGCCACCGGCGTGGTGACATCACGCGCGGCGTCAGGAGGCGGCGGGGTGCGGCGGGGTAGAAGGGCCGGGACGAGAGCTGCGCAACTGCAGAGCCAGCCCTGGTCCGCCGCCAGATCGTAGTCGGGGGGCGGGAACCGGGGGCCACGGCGCAGGCGCAGCGTAGCCGGCTGGTAACAGGCACCTTCGCTTTTAGGGCGTGGTGGTCCAGAAAGGAGGGGGGCTGGAGAAGGGAAGACCGAATCCGAGCAAACGCGGTGCCTGCAGCAGGGAACTGGGCTAATTCCAGAGCACAGCGTCCTGCGCGGCGCGCGCGCCGACTTAGCGCAGGCGCAGTCTCGGGGGTGGGAGGTTGGGGAGAACCTACCAGTCCGAGCCTTTTCCCTAAGGTGAGACCGCTTGGCGCTTCACTCTGCGTTTGCACCCGGATTAAAGAAACTAGTATTGTGACCCCACGATGCGCTGGATTTGTATGGGATTCCTAAATCTTTGAGTGCGGGAACGGGTGCCAAGTGGTAGCCTGGAGTGGCCACCTCCGCCTCTAGGCGCGGCAGGCACCTTGTAATTAGGTCACTGGTGGGCGGAGGAGGGTGTGTCTGCCCTGGGAGCGCGGCGCAGTGCACCTGACTCCTCCGGCACACACCTGTCTTCACGCCTAGATGCCTGTCGGCCGCGATACCTGCGGCCGAGCCTTGGGCTTTTCTCTAGGCTTAGGACCGCGCGCCTGCTTCCACACGCCTCGCACAACCTCGCCATTTGTCGCCTTCCGCCCCAGGTGTGCTCCTTTATCTGTCTTAGGTTCCTCCGGGGAATGAGGAGGAGCCCCTCTACCTCCCCACCCATGCCCTCTCTGGCCTGACGGTATTAGAAGCGGCTACAATCCGCCCTTTAAAGAAAGCTCGGATACCTAAGTATCGGACCTTGGTCTGGCTATGAATCTCTTTGAGGTTTGCGAGATGTTATTACATCCCATTATCTCTGCATTCACGAAATATTTGGCTCCGTAGAGCATCAATTGTGTGCTGGATCCCACCCTTAGGAGACAGAGGGGTCAACCAAATAGACAAGGTATCCTGTCCTGGTCGAAGCTTGTATTCTCCCAGTAGTTTAGGAATAGATGTAAGAGATATTATGATGTCCCCAGGATCTGAGAGATACAAACTTTCCAAAGGACATTTAACCTTAAAGTGCGAGGCAAGAGCTGAACCTATCCACCTGTCTTCTAGATTTCCTACCCCCCAATAGCAGTTTACCCTGCCAAATCCAAGCGCTCACTCTGCAGCTCTGAGGGCATCGTCCCAACCAATAAGCTGAAGAAGGCTCTAGAGGCCTGGATGAGTTAATGTTGGGACTGAAAATTCACCTTCATCCAAGACAACCTGCTTAGTGAGGTTGACTGGCTTGGCCTTCCCAGGCTGAAAACGGCAGTTCTGCTTTTCTTCATTCCTCCCGGCAGCGTTCCCAGAGGAAAGTCTTTCAGCTCTCTGCCCCTGAAAGCTTATACTTAATTTACCAGATCGGGTAAAAAAAAAAGCTCTTTTAGCTCAAATTCTATGTTTTACAGTTAACATCCCCCAATAATAGAGGAGTAGGAGTTAAGACCATGGAGAATGTATAAGGAAAAAAATCATCACTTAGTGCTGATGACTATAAAGCTGTGCCCAGCGTGCTGTTGTCTTATTCTTCACTGGTGCCCTGTACCTGTGTGAGAACTGGTCCTGTCTTACAGGGTAAGAAACAGACAACCAGTCAGGAAAGAGAAGGGACTTACCCAAGGTAGTAATCAGGATTTGAAACTTTATACTCCCAAGTGCAAGGCCTCCACCACACACACATACACACACACGCCTGACCTCTAAGAACTGAAGTAAGGAACAGGGTCAATATGATTTCCCTTTACCTGAGTTCTCTTATCTAGAAAGGTGGGGGGACGCCTGGGTGGCTCAGTCGGTTAAGTGTCCGACTTCGGCTCAGGTCATGATCACGAGGTTCGTGGGTTCAAGCCCCGCGTCAAGCTCTATGCTGACAGCTAGCTCAGAGACTGGAGCCTGTTTCAGATTCTGTATCTCCCTCTCTCTCTGACCCCTCCCTGCTCACGCCGTCTCTCTCTCTATCAGAAATAAATAAAACATTAAAAAAATTTTAGGAAGGTGGGGTGATGTTAATTTGGTTCATTAAAAGGTGTTGAGCAAAAAAAAAAAAAAAAAAAGTGTTGAGCACCCTAAGGGCTGCATTGTTTCATCTTTCAGACAGAGCTCCTGAATGGTCTAAATGTGTACTGAAGACATCAAGATTTTATGCATCAGCAGCAGCCTTTTCCAAAGCAGTTTCCATGGACCATGAGTCCCATGAGAAACAAATTCCTTTCAAAAGGAAATTTACAATGCTATATTCTCAGAAGTCATGTGATTAAAAAAGCAAACAAAATTTAAAAACTCATGAGTTTTATCTACCCTTAAAAAAAAGTATTGAGCACCTACTATGTATTAAGATCATAATGAAAGGGTTTTTCCAAAGTGCTGTGAGCTTCTAGTTGGTAGCCCTAATGTAGGTATTATTTATTTTCTCTTGATGCAGATTACTTGGCTCACCACCACCACAAAATGGAGGGAAGATATAATTATATATACTTAAAACATCCTGCCAAATAATTAGATGCCATGACTTAACTTCTTAAGGAATGAATTCTAGGAAGCTCTTATTAGCTTTCAAGCCATGAATTAAAGCATACGTGATTATGAACAATACAGAACTAATTCAGAATGTCTTTTCCTTTAAAAGGAATCTAGATTATTTTCTTATTCTGCAGACCTCAAACTAGCCGATGGATCTGAAACTTCAGATTGGATTGATCTGGTCCTGACTCACTGGGCCTGACTGTCTAAATTCTAGAGCTGAGGAATACTTGGAACAAAAAGTTAAAAGCAAACCAAAAAAACATTGTCCTTTTAATTGCTTGGCAAAAACCAGAGACTGAATAAAGCAAACATGCTTTGAGAAAGAAATCTTTGCTCAAATGGCAAATTCAGTATACAGCAAGACTAAGTGTTGCCCATGATGTTTAAACATAGCTATAAATAAAAATCATCTGATGATGGGGGCAGGGTTGAAGGAAGATGACCTTGAGCAAATAGCTTTATAATAGGTAGTCTTAGCCAAAGGATAAAAACTGACATTAAACATTGGTGAAAGAATGAGATACATCATTTGTCAACAATTCTCTTGGCCTCACATTAGGTTTATTTTGTTGCTGTTCCTTCCAGTGGCCTGATTTCTAAGCTTTACAGAGACCAAAAGTAGAACCAGGTAGGTAAGAAATGGCTCTGGGGTCAGATGGACCTGGTTTGAATTCTGGTTCTTTTTTTTTTTTAATGTTTTATTTATTTCTAGGAGAGAGAGAGAGAGACAGTGTGAGCAGGGGAGGGTCAGAGAGAGAGGGAGTCACAGACTGAATCAGGCTCCAGGCTCTGAGCTGGCAGTCAGCACAGCGCCCGACGCGGGGCTCGAACCCACGAACCGCGAGATCATGACCTAAGCGAAAGTCGGATGCTTAACCAACTAAGCCACCCAGGTGCCCCTGAATTCTGGTTCTTTAACAAGTTTGGCAAGTTTCTTAACTTTTCTGAGTCTCCCTTTTTCTCATCTATAAAGTGGAGATAATGATAATTGCCAAATAATAGGGTTCTTCTGAGAATTCAATGAAATTATAAATGTAAAACATAGCATATAGTAAATGTCTGGTATGTATTAGATATTCTTACTCTTAATAGTTCTCGGTAGTCTCTGGTTCTATATATCCTCTAGTGCCAGTTTGAACACTTCAGTGCCTGCTGTGGAATACATAGTGGTCTTTGGAAACAGAATATAACAGTATCAAAAACATATAGACACAAAGCCATCAGATGAAGTAAACTTGAGGTGAGGAGGGGATTCAAGAAAAGAGGGTAGAGATGGAACAAAAAGGATATCCCCTCTCTTCCCTTGACATCATGCAAACATTCAGAAGACTTGTTGTATAGAGAAAAAGTCAATGAGGAATAAATCCAAGAATTAATACAATTGGTTAGTCTTATGTTTCTGTTGTGTCAGAATTTTTTAAGTGAAAAGGGTGCCATATCTGGTAACATGCACTTTGCACCAAGACCTTCTATGCCCCCAAATACAGATTTAATTAGTCAACATTAGTGCCTATGTCCATGAGAAGGCTGCCATCCTCTGGGCAACTGGGCCTGTCCAACTACTGGGAGATTTCAGTACTTGGGATACACAGTGATACTTGCAACTGATTGGTATCTATCCCAGTTTTTCTCCTTTGCAGTTCTGAACAATTAAACTTAACATTTCATCTGTAATTAGAATTTTATAAATGTGGACAAAATTTTGTGACCAGGAATTTTCCCACAGATATAATATAGCACTTTCCTTCAGCTACTACAGTTTGGCTAAAAAAAAAAGAGAGAAATGACCGCATCCTTTAGTAATGTCCCTGACATAGAGATACCATTCTCAGTTACAAAGGAAATATTTTTTTCTCTGTTACAGGAAAAACAATATCTCTGAAATGAAAGGCAAAGTTTATTACCCCAAAAGGCTGGATAAACCTTAAAAATACTGTCACCAACTTTGCAGGCATAAAAATCTTATCATAGAAATGTTTATTGACATGGGAAATTATGCACAATATACTATTAAGTGACAAAAATACTTTACAAAACAGCATGTATGATATAACCATAATTTTATTAAATATATATTTAAAATATATGGTTATGAGACTTTAAGAAGGTACACAATGAGGTAATAATAGCAGTTCCTTCTGGTGAATGGAGTTTTAATTTTTTTCTTTTTATGTACTTGATTCTTCTGTAACAAAAACATATGGCTCATAATTGTGAAAAGAAATCCTCATATATCCTGAGTAGACATGACTAGGCACCTCTCAGGGGAATCACAAGCTCAAACAACATGTAGCCAATAGTTCTGT